TGCACCAGCCAGGAGGATGGTATCGTACCCTCCTTCTCTGGGGGAGGGGGAGGGTGCTGAAAACAGCGAAGGGGAAGCATCACGGGATGAAATGGGGACTTTGTATGCCCTGGGCGTCACCCAACCGTACACGGACAGTTTGTAACCTCTCAGGCTGCATGCCTGATTCCAGGGAGCAAACCGACTTGGGCTTGCCTGCTTCTGCCTGGATTAGAGACTGATTTAGTGTGCAGGGATCCCAAGGCCAGCATTTGGGGAGGAAGGGGAGAGACCAGCTGAGATGGGCAATGTCGGTAGAATTCCAGCCCTGAGACCACAGCTTACAGGCAGAATTGATGGAGGAGCTTGGAGCCCTGCAGAATTTGTCTCAGAGAATAGGACACATGCCTGGCTGGGTGAGGGGAAAAGGAACCCTCTGTATCCCTGTCCAGCAAGAAGACTGTCTAGTGTATGCAGTGATCAGAAGGAATAAAATCCAAGTAATACAAAAATATCAAGTTCTTGGTCTCATAGCCACACCCCAAGGGATCACTTGGCACAGAGGATATTGCATAGTTATTTTCTGAATTGTAGTCTCTTTGGGAGGGAGGAGGGTGGTTCCTAAGATCCAGGAAGCTTAAGGAAACTTACAGAGCTGAGGAAGTTGTAAGATTCACCACCCACAATCATTTATGCGATAAACCCTTGTTGGGGAAGGGAGACTTCCATTGGGTTGTCTGCGGACTGGGCAGGGAGTTCCAGGGTGCAGCTTTCATGAGCATCCCCCATGTGATTTTCAGGGATGCAGCTTCCTTTGATTCTCTTACACTCCTGTAAGTAACCCAATGAACTCATTGGTCCTCAAGCCAGACTTGGGTAGAATGTTTGGTCTGCTGGTGGTGCCCTGTCTGGGGTGAAAGTACTTGTTCATGTCTGTCCAGAAGTCACACAATAGACGGCCAATACTGTAAGGTGCTTCCATCATCCAGAAAGTTCTATTTAAACCTAAACTCTTGTGCTGGCATTTTTATATTGATTTCATGTTGAAATAATTTTTGCTATCTTGAGTTAAATAAGATATTAATGCCAACTCCATTTGTGTTTAGCCACACACATACACCCATAGGTAATAGGAAATTGAAAATTCCCAGTATGGCCCATATTTCCATTGATTCTATACACCCATTATATGTGGGTGCAGGAGCACACTTTCACTTAGTCATATAAGACACCACATCCATTCAATGGCATTTGGTTCTGTGATGGCTTGAAAACCTTTTAAGTAACAGTGGCAGTCCAGATAATGGGACGGATATCGGCTGCATCTCTGTTACAGCAGTTCTCCACCTTCCTAATGCTGCCACCCTTCAATACAGTTACTCATGCTGTGGTGGCCCCAACCACAAAATTATTTCATTGCTACTTCATAGCTGTAATTTTGCTACTGCTATGAATCATAATGTAAACATCTGATATGCAGGATATCTGCAATGGAACCCCCAAAGGGGTTACGACTCACAGGTTGAGAACTGCTACTCTGTTAGCTCGTGGACTTGGGCCATGTCTCAGTTTTCTTATTTGAAAAGTGTATGCAGTGCTAGTTTGGTTACAGAGCACTGTTGGAATGTTCTGGGGGTGGTGCATGTGCTATGCCTTAGGGGGTCCTGGCCCCTAGTCAGCCTTAGTGAATGGCAGCTGATGTTACCATTAGGCCACCAGTGGTTTTGGTGTGAAAGTGGTCAGCTCTCCTGGCCTTAGATTGCTCACCACTTTTTCTATAGCCTTCGACATCCCCTCTCAGTTCTAGCAAGCCTTAAGATGCCTATCTGGAGGGACTTACCTGCTGGTAGCTGCTGGCCCAGGATTCTCGGAGGGCATCCCAGCCTCCGGAGCGTTTGGCCTTGCTCTCCAGGTGAGCCCGCAGTTGTGTTTCCAGCTCCTGGCTGGCTTGTTCCAGAGCATGCACCTTGGTCATGTATTCCACCAGGCAGCCCCCCAAGTCTTCAACAGCAGTGTGATCCCTCTCTGGGCCTGGAGCAGGCACAGTGGTAAGGCCTGAACTCCGTAGGCCCTGCAGGAAGACACTGCTGATGCCCAGGGCCCGACGGGTCACTCGGGCACTGAGGCCACCTATGCACCCACTGGGTGCTACTCCTACATAGACCCCAGGTGCACGGATGAGGCTACCCAGAGCACTGGTCCTGGATGCTGGAGGGCTCTCAAGGGAGGATGGAGATCGTGTCCCCCTGAGGGACACCCTGTGCCTCTGCAGGGCCATGCTGGAGTTGACTCCAGCGGGTAAGTCCGCTGCCGCTCTCCTTTCGCTCAACATTCTCTCTGCCTCTGTGGCGCCTGGTAGGTTTACAGGCTTCAGTGGCTTTTGGTTGCTAGTCCCAGCATCCCCATGGCCTGGTCACGGGCCTCTCTGGAAGCTCCTCTGTCCCCGTGTTCTTTGTCTACTGCCTTCCATGAGCTTCTGTCATTCATTGAGCCGGAAGAGAACTCCTGCACCAGTCTGTGAGAGGCACACAGGCATTGTCTGATGCTGAGTCATGTGCTCAACCATCCAGACTTTTCTGCTGGGGTGCTGGAGCAGTGCAGGTTGTGGGAATGGATCATCTAGATTTGCCTATTTGTTTTTAGATAGGGTGTCTGAGGCTGGCCTTAAAATCCCTATGTAGCCAGGGACTCATGCATAGTAAGTGAATACTCTGTCACCTCTATATCCGCAGCCCTTGGGTTTGTGCATGCTACTGCCATAGAGAGGCAGGAAGGCAACAAGCAGCTCTGTTTCATGGTGAGGAAACAGGCTTGAGGACCTTAGATGACAAGTGTACTGATCACTTCCTCCATATCTTACAGCACAAGCTGGGACTCAGTGTAGTGGCCTCAGGACTGATTTCAGGACTTTCCACATCCCTACATGTGCTGAGGTAGGGGTATGCGCATGCGTGCACATGTACATCCACATAGGATCAGAGGATGGATGTGGTTGTGAGCCAGCCATGGAGGAAGGCAGCCCTGGAGACCCAAGGGAGACAAAGCCACCTGCTGCTATCCTCTTCCCTCAGGTCTGGCAGCCGTTCCAGGCCCCTTCTAGCTTCTCTTTCCTCCTCACGTCTGCCCTCTGACACAATGCTTGTCAGCTGCAGGCCCTCAGCCATGTTTCTTCTCCTCTAGACCTTGCTGTACATCTGCCTGATTGCTAATTCTGAAACATCAGACACTCTGGAGCCAGTGTAAGACCTGAACTTCTGAGAAGCTGTATGTTAGGCTCTGCTGTCTTTTCCACCTCTGTCTCTTCCTCTAATAAGACTAAGAAGTGAAAATAGCAAAGCAATTTCTGGAAAGCACTCATGGGTGTGATACAAGTCAGGGTTTGCTGGCACCCCAGGTTTTAATCCTTGCCTTTGGCGTACACTTTCAATTGTTATATCCTAGTCACTTCTTTGGGGTACAATGGTCCCTCCAGCCTGGGCGTGTGCTGAGGTTTTAGTGTCTTGGAACTAAGCATCCCAGGTCTAGAGATGGACATACTCCTTGACCCTGTATTGTGAGGATGGAGCCCAGGCAAGAGAAGGGAATGGGAGTCACCTTCTTGTAGGTACTGAGTACACCCCAGTTCTGAGCACAGTTCCACCCTCTACCTCACTGACTTTTCAATCCAACTTTAGAAGGTCAGAAAATACAGGGTTGACAAGTACTGCTGTTTGGGTGCACATTGTACAATTTCAGAAGTATTATCTCATAGATACCATTGCTCCCCTCCCCTTTGTGACAAACGACTCAGATTCCATATCCAGAACTTAGCAGAGTTAAGAAAGCTTCTCTGTTCTGGGGACTTACATAGGTTGTCTGTAGCACCAGCCAATTGCCAGGGTCACACAAGTCCTACTCATCTGCTAGAGCACTGTGTGTACTTTTATTATCTATTTATGAACTTTGCAAACTTTTCCTTCTCTGTTTACTTGAGACAATGTAGGGCACTTTGCTACTTTTGTGTGTACATGTGGAGGTCAGAGATCACCTTTTAGGGACATCTTGGGGGCTATCCACCTGACTTTTTCAGTCAGGGTCTCTTACTGGCATGGAACCCACCAATTAGGCTAGGCTTTCTGGCCAGTGAGCCCCAGAGATCTGCTTGGCTCTGTCTCCCCAGTTCTGGGATTAGACGCATGTGTCACCACACCCAGGTTTTGACATGGGTTCTAGGTATCAAACTTGAGTCTTCATGATTGTAAGGCATTTTACTGAGGTGTCTTCCCCACCTTCCAGGAGATACTTCATTAAATACCAGTGTTGGTTATTTGACAGATTAAGTCAACTGAATCAAGGGTGGTAGTTTATAGACCTTAGCTTGCATAGATGTACTCTTCCTATGAATACCATCTCTGTAGCTCCCATGGTGCACTGGTAACAGCCTCCTAATACAAATGGTGGTAGTTTACAGACCTTAGCTTGCATAGATGTACTCTTCCTATGAATACATCTCTGTAGCTCCCATGGTGCACTGGTAACAGCCCCCTAATACAAGTGGTACTGCTGGGTCCCATGAAGCTGCATTTCAGTCTGTTCCAGGATGTACTGTCCAAGGCTAAATGAAGGGTTCAAGCTACTGACTGTAAAGGTGTTATGTGGCCTTAGGCACTGTTACTGCCCAGGGAATGGAAATGATCAGTGGTTTTAGACACTCTCAGACCCAAAGACATTTATTCTAAATCTTCTTAGTCCCCTGGAGATAGGGACAGGCAATGGGAAGCACCTCAATGGACACTAATGTTTCAAAGATCTGAAGGGAGTCTGAGCCGACTCTCCCTTGGAAAACCCACCCTCCTGTTCTAAAAGAAATTTTACCAAATGATAACTTGATGACTCTGTTATCTCATCACACTTACAAAATTCAATATAATGTTCAATTAGGTAAAATACACATGGAAATGAGAAGCTTATGGGCACCACTGAAGGGGAGACTTAAATGTTTTTAAATAAAAAGAATGCAAAATATATTAGCAACTTGATCCTCTGGGTAATAAAATAAGTTTATTTATATATACATGGTAGCTGAATTCTGTGGATACGGAAAAATAAGTCATACATCCACAAATGTATATATAACATATGTATCTTTGACATATATTATATATAAATTGTACTTTACAAACAAGTTTTCTCTATACATACTCACACACATTGGCATATTCAATGCAATAGCTAACAGAAATATTAGGATAAGGTTAAGGTCAGACAGCAACATGTGAGCGAGCGAGTCTCGGCACAACATTTAACCTGCTGCTTTTGTGGGTTGAAGTCTTTGAAAAGAGACAAGCAGACTCATGTTAAGTAGGGCCACACAACATTGAGAACACGTGTTAGCTTTGAAGGCCGCCTTCCTTTTTGAAAGGAGAATGGAGCAGGAGAGGAAGTCGTGGTAAGAGGACCACAGCAACAACACAGACATTGAAATCAACAGTCAAGTTCAAGTCCCGATCTGACAATAAGAACATCTATATTCAAAATATACTATCAAACTATTTTTCTTTTTAAGGGAGGGGGTCGAAGAAGTTAAATTTCCTAGCCAAGGTGGGTGGGTTAGGAGAGGAACAGAGAAAGCAACTGCCCCCAGAGGTCCCTACAGTGGGGGCTGGGTGTCCCCAGAGGTCCCTACAGTGGGGGCTGGGTGCCCCCAGAGGTCCCTACAGTGTGGGCTGGGAATGCAGCTGGACCTGGACTGGGGGAGCGAGAGAGGGGAGGTGGGAACAGTGAAAGCTGATGGCGTTCATGGGCAGGTCTGCAGCGCTTCTGCCCGAAGACAGAATGGCACTTCTCTCACGAGTGATTCATTTGGCAATTTTTTTTCTTTAAAGATTTAATGGGGAAGGTTAAAAAAATACTTCTATACCACAAGGCTTTCTAGATAGACCTGTTTCTCAGGGGGGCACAATATCATTGCCTTCTGAGAAAGCAATACAGAATCCTAATAAACACTAGATTGGCCCTTTGAACATGGACAGGCAAGTGTATGGTACAGTCCCAAGGCCGGAATCTACTACATCTGTCCTCCCAGGAAGGGAGGCCTGGGGTGGGGGTGGGGTGCACTGGAAAGAGATGCAGGGAAGTGTTTTTAGGGAGCACTTCTCTGCCAGACAAAGGCAGCCCTGTTTGTTCTAGCATGGTGGAAACACCCTGTGGGGTGATACAAGGGGGTGGAGCCCTGTGATGCCTTGATGTCCATAGAGCCATTAAACTTGACATTCAGTGGTGGCAAGTTCCCTTCCGTTTCGCACACTTGCCCGTGTCTTCTGCCTCGGGGCACCAGTTACCTCCTCTAGTGTACAAGGAGACAGGAAATGCGCACAAAGGAACCATAGCTTCAGGAGCAGACAAAGGACCACTCCCTTGGCCATCATGACATTCAGCTTCCATGGGAGACTGGTCCCTTTCCTCGCCTGCCCAGGGCTCCTGGGACCCCTACATGCCCAGAACAGTCAGAGAAGCAATCAATGCAACTGCTTTGCTTAGAAATACCTTTATTTTATAAAGCCATGGGTCATTCTGTAAATTTTTTTAAACCACACTTGTAAAAAAGATGTTGACAATTCTTAAGAAAAAAAGCTGAAAATGTTTCTTATTAAGTCAGGGTTACACAAAGGTTATATTTATAATATATATATTTGTATATTTATAATTTAGAGACAAAAATAGGGAGTGGCAACGCGGAGGCTGCTGCATCTAGATCTCAGACACCTGATCGTTTCCCACGAACAGTGTTTCCTGGCAGAAGGGGTTCACAAGGACCATCCCAGTGTCTCGATAGTCGCCATTGGCTGGGGAGCGGGGCTCTGAGAGCTGGTCCTGGGGAGAGAGGGAGGAAGATGGTGAGAGCTGGGGGTGGAAGCAGGGCTGGCTGCTCTTCAAGAAAGGCACGAGTATAGCTGGGTGTGGAAGCACTCGACCCCAGCACTCTGGAGGGTGGCAAGTTCAAGGCCAGCCTGGGCTACATAGTGAGAGACTGCTTCAACAAATCAAGCAACTAAGCACAAACAAGGAAATAAGCACACGCGCGCACACGCGCCCGCACACGCGCGCACACGCGCCCGCACACGCGCGCACACGCGCCCGCACACGCGCGCACACGCGCCCGCACACGCGCGCACACGCGCCCGCACACGCGCACACACATGCCCACACACGCGCACACACACCACAATACACATACACCACACACACCCACTACTGTACATACATAGGCACACACGTGCACACACATGCCCACACACGTACACACACCACAATACACATACACCACACACACCCACTACTGTACATACATAGGCACATACGTGCACACACACGTAGGCACCACAATACACACACACCACACACACCCACTCTACACACACAGGCACACACACATGCACACACACATGCACACATATACATACACACACAATACACACCCACTCTACACACACAGGCACACATCACACACATCCCCTCTACATACACACACACACACTCTCTCTTTCCACACAGAGATACACATACCACAGTACACACACCCCACAAACACTACATACACCCCTCCTCACACACCCTACATACCACACACACCACACACACACACACACACACCTTACTGCCTTAGTTGATATCCTTGGACTCCAGACTCCACTTCCTGCCTCTTCCTCAGGCAAATTCTCAGCTTTTCCTTTTCAAATACACCTATGGGCATCACCTATGCCATAACTACCCTTCAGAGTCTCACAGGCCCACCAGTCTTCAAAGCCCAGTTCATCCTCCTCTTAGCCGCCCCCACCTCCAGCCTGGTGAGAATCACTGCCCTCTTCCTTGTAGCAACACAAGCCCCCACACAGACAGACCAGTGAGAACAAACAAGGAAAGCAACTAAATCCCCCACCCCAAACCTCAACCTGGCTGTTAAGCCCCAGAGTGGAAAAGCCTTTAAACAGGCGCTCCACACTGCTCAAGAGGGAATCGGGAGGCTTCCACAGGGTTTCCATCTCAGCTACCAGGGACTGCAAGCACTGGTGGGCTACTGATGGCGGTTGTTCCTAGATCAGGTATTGACCTAGGGAAGAGAAAGACTAGCCAGTGCCTGAGTAAATGCCAAACAACCAAAGCCTCAGAAGTTGCACGCCATTTCAAGGCCCTGTGTATTCTGGACTGGGCTAGACTTCTCAGAAATGGCCTCTTTAAGAAGCCACAGCTCATTCTCTGAAGTTTATCTTTAAACAAAAGAGACCAACAGTTCCTAAGGAAGAGAACCAGCTGCTTTGTGGGTGGTCCAGAGAAGAGGAAACTGTTGTTGATAAAAGGTCTTTTCAGGGGACAGGCATATCCCTCAAAGGATGACCTGGCCAAGTCCCACCAGGAGGGTGCATGGAAGCCTGGCCCTTCTAACAACGGGAAGAGACAGAAGTCCTTTTCTGTGCTCTTGGGCTGAGCTGTGGTGAGGGGTTTGGAGGCTGAAGTCTGGCTTGTATAGCTTTGTAGTTTTAATGGGGGCAAGTATGGACTAGTGGGGACCTGGATAGGGGGATATATGGGGCACTGCATGAAAAGAGAAGCATTTAGGGAACAAGACAATAAATAGAGGGGGAAGAGGCGGGGAGGGAGGAAAAGGAAGAAAACACGGAAAAGTATCCACGCTCCCTTGGGCTCTGTGATCTGCCATTTCATCATCATAGCGGCAAAGGAGTCAGGCACAGACATTTTCTTAGGCAAGGCATGTGGGAGCGTCTGGATGGTAGGTGCCTGTCTGAGGATGCAGAAGGTAGGAGGATGTGACTATCCTGTGTGTGGTCTACAGGGCATGGATGTCCCCAGCAGTTTCCATCCTAGCTCCGAGCGACCTACATTTTGACCTCACACAGGCCAAGTTTAACGTGTTGGAACAGATTATAGTCCTTTTATTAATACAGCAGAACTGAGAGAGTAGACTGGTAGGGGCATGGGTGGGGCAGAGGGAAGGGGGGGGCATTGGTACAATGTGAAGCCAAATCCGGCATACTTCCTTCTGTGGCTTTTGCGGTGCCTTCTGTTCTTGAGGCTGTGGCCAGGTGGCCCTTCTCCTGGGAGTCTCCTAGCCTGGTGCTGCCTGTATACCAGGAGCCCCTGCCCCCATCCCTTTTGGTTCTACAAGTAGAATACATGGTATCCTCCAAGCAGAACTTTTCTATAGCGTGTTTATGGGCTATGCTCTTCAGTGGTCACTTCCCCATTTGCAGAGAAAATATAAGAAATTTAGGCTTCACTGGCCAGATTCAAACCTTTCCCAGGTTTTCCACGTGCTGTAAGAAAAAATAGGTGCTGGTTTCTCACCTAAATGAAAGCCTGTCTTGCTACCTGCTCTTTGGTTATTAGCTTTTACTGAGTAGCTACTCTGGCAGGCTCTGAACTGAGTAGGGTGAGTCATGGTGGCTTTGTTCATACATGACGCATTCATCTACTGCTTGTTTGCTGCAGACCACCATGGGCCACGCCAGGCACAGTTCTAGATGCTGCAAATGGAGGAGTGACTTCGATAAGCAAGGCTCCTGCCACCAGACCCTTTCATATCAGCGAGGAGAGGGAGATGAATGTGTCAAGAGAGCAGTAGGCTCGCATGCTCCTGGTGAGCAGGCTATAAGGAGAAAGCAAGCAGGGCTGGAGATGGATGATGAGGGCGTGGCTCTAATGGGCTTATAGGGCAGTCTAGGGCTCCTTAGGGAGACCTGCAGGAAGTGAGAGGATCTGGCATTAGGGGGAGGGGTCCAGTTAAGCTTAAGAGCAAAAATCTTGTGGGTCAAGGGCTTTCTGTGTAGAGCAAAGAGCCCAGGGTGGCTAGGCGAGACTGGGGGCTGGTAGGGGACTGAGAGACCACTCGCTCATGAAGGGACTGCAAAGAGGAACTGTGCTTTTTTTCTTTGTGTGTGTTCATGAGCATGCATGCAGTCAACCTGTGCTGTGTAAGAAGTCAGCCTCAGGTGAGGTCTCTCAGGAGCCAGCTTGGAACAGGATCTCTCACTGGGAACTGCAGATTAGGCTGGCAGGCCAGCAACTCCCAGGATCCTCCTGTCTCTACTGGCAAGCTTGTGCACCACTACACTAGGATTTTTACATGGCTTCTGAGGTTTTTCTCTTTCTCTCTTCCTCCTTCTCCCCCCTCCCATTCTCCCTCTCTCCCCACCTTTCGTGTGTGTGTGTGTGTGTGTGTGTGTGTGTGTGTGTGTGTGTGTGTGTGGTGCAGCCCAATCTGGCCTTGAGCTCCCAAAGTAGTTAAGTAGCTTGGACTTGTGGTCTTCTGACCTCTACCATCAGAGTGCAGGGACCACAGGTGTGTATCCCCGCATCCAACCTCAGCTCCTCATTAAGTGTGCAGAGGATCCACCTGGGAGCTGGGATCCACGGCTAACGGGGTCATGCTTTGGAGAGATCATTCTGCTCCTGTGTGGCTTCTGTCCCCACCAACTGCAGGAGGTGTGAGGGAATGGAAAGGGCATCCTTGGCACCATCTGCAGCCATCAGAGTGTTAGAGAGGAGAGGGCTGTGTGCAGGCATGAGAGCAGCTCATGCTAAGGAAGAACCAATAGAATCTTCCAAGAGACATGCAAGGTTGGGTTGGTGGGCCAGTGTCATGTATGCCACGGGGAACACCAGGTGAGTTTGGGGCTGGGGCCGGGAGTGGGCATCAAGGGTTCCATATTGGGTCAATGAGTCTGAGACTGTTAGGCCAGTATGTGGCTGACTTCAGAGGAGACATCAGAGCTGCAGACAGATGTGGCACTGGTTCTACAGCAATAGGAATATGTCATATACCTAAGAAAACGAGAGTGGCCATGAGTGGCTGAGCCTGGGACTCGGTGATGAGAGTTCTGACAGCATAGGACTCAATACTCCAAACTGAGAAGGAGCTGCCAGGGAGCAGGGGCAGCAAGCAGGTGGCCCAAAGGAGGGAGAGCATGATACTGAGTTAACGTCAGGCTGGAACTCCCAAAGTAGCCATGGTAAACAGTCACATAGTAAATACCAGGATGGGAGAGCAGGGGTCGGGGGAGGAGGCTGAGATGCTCTGGCAAGAGAGCCACATCCAGTCTGGCAGGTTACACAGATTTGCAAAGTGGCATTCTGCAAGTGGGTTAGAGAGGGCAAGCTGGGCGCTCGCTTTGACAGCACACATCCTAAATTGGAATGATACAGAGAAGACTGGCATGACCCTTGTGCAAGAAAAAAGAGGGTGAGCTGGGGAGGGAGAGAAGACTGTAGGAGAGGGGAGACTTCACACACTGCGAGGGGTGCCATGGAGGAAGGATATATCCATCATAGCGGGGCAGGTATCACGTGAGGCCTGAAAGTTGGCGGGTGCGGGGTGGGGGTGTTTGGAGGGGCATGTCTCCCTCACAGGCTACCTAACACCTTAACCTTTAAGTGGGAAGCTTGGCTGGTTTTTGAACAAGGGAACAATGTGGTTATATTCAGCTACCAAAGCCCATCCTAGATGCCCAGGGAATGGCGGTGTGGGGAAGGCAAAGGGCACTGTCTCAATAACTCCGCTCAGCCGCCTCTCATCTCCTGGACATCTCCAAGGCATCTGTCTTCCTTTGAGGGCATACCTAGTGAAACCCAGAAACCCTCCCTGTGCCTCTTGCGGGGTGGGAGTGGGGCTTTCTCCCTGGGTTTCCATAGCATTTCATCTATTACTAGTCTCAATTTGTTTTGCTTTTGAATGGCATCACGCTTCATCTCCCAGCCACAGCTCAGAATTGGAAGTCCCCCGAGAGCAAGCTGTCATCTTCCCAGTCCTCAGAGACTGCTTGCCACCAAACAGGTCCTCAATAAACATTTGTTACTTATTCCCAGACTGAGAACAGCTTCCCCACACTTCAGTGTGCAGAAAGCATCCCCACCCCCGGGGCTCTTGTTTCAGAATCAGATCCCAAGTTCAGTAGGGCTGGGGCAGGGGGAGAAGCTCCTGGCCGGCAGAGCACTGTGGAGGAGCAGGCACTCCGCAGCTCTCTCTGTGGAGAGCTGTCGTGGAGGTGTGGGGCTGTTACCTCTGAGGTCTCCAGGGACTGGATCTCCCTTGGCAGCTCCACTGCATGCCTGTTGAAGTAGTCCATGGTGATGGCATTGTTCCAGTAGCTCAGGTTGTTCTCGGGGTTGGCCGTCTTCTTCTTCCTCCTCATGCAGCACACTGTCAACAGGACGGCTGTGGAGAGAGTCCCAGTCAGAGAAGCAGCGTTGGGGGGGACAAACTGCCTAAGTCCCAGTGGGGTGCCGAGGAGGTGGTACTGTCCCCAGCCACTTATCCCATTTGTTCAGTTAAAAAAATGGGCTCATGTATTGCAGGCTGGCTTGAGCTCACTGTGAAACCGAGGGTGGTCTGACTCCTGCGTTCTGTGTTACCTTGCCTGGCTGCTGGAGTGCTGGCACTGAAACCAGAGCTCTGCACACACAAGACGAGCGCTCCAATAACTGTGCTGGCCTTCACTTATTTAGTTGGTTTTTTAACCACTACCTTCATGTTGAGTACCTACTTTGTGCCAGAAACTGTTAATAGTCACCACTGTTTCCCTAAGCATCCATCCTTTGGTGTGCTTGCAGAAGAGGTCAGACGATACACAGGTAATACAATGAATCCGGTGATTTCAATAGGGATGTCTATCCAGTGAAGACAAAATGGCCAAGTGAGAGAGGCTGCTTTAGTCCCGGTGGTGGTTCATAGCAAGGGAACTGGCATTTCAGGGAGGAGCTGGCCCCATGCAGAATGTTCCGGGGGGGGAAGTGTGGACAGCCCATGCGTGTGAGGAAAGAAAGAGCAATATGGCAGGGAGTGTGTGTGGAGGGAGGAGGGGAGGCTTGGGCGGTGTTGACAGGTGTACCCCAGGGCGTGGGGAAGGGAGGCTACATGCACTTGGGAGACATTTGTGGTTGCTGCAGTGCTGTGTTTTTAGTGTGGGTCAAGCAAGGGCTTTGCTCATCTTGTGGAGAGTTCCCCAGAGCCTGCTGCAAAGACCAGTGTGTGTGTGTGTGTGTGTGTGTGTGTGTGTGTGTGTGTGTGTGTTCAGAGCCTCACTCTTTGGGAAGGGACCAGTTGAAGTACGAGGGTGACAGAGATGCATTAGACAAAACCCCCAGGCTCATTTAAAGAGATGTGAACACTCAGTCATGCAGGCCTTACATTTCAGGGATACTGGTACTGATTGCTTTAAATTTTCCATTTGACCTCAAAGGGTCAGTGTTAAGAGCCCATACTTTTCAGATAGAGAAGTAGTAATTTTATCAATAGGCTTAAAAGCAAATCTGAATGTGTGGACTCCAGTTTCTGGTCTTTTACACCTGGGTTTCTCCCTGAGGTTGACACTAGGGCTCACCTTACTAATGTGACTGCAGCTCGGCTCTTCTCAGCCTGCCCTCGTGCTATGTGACATGTGACCCCTGTCTGCTCAGCCTCTGAGACTGAAGAGCCCTGGAGGAATAAGTGTGGCTCTGTTGATGAATCAGGAGCAAACAGTAACTTTAGTATGTTCCCAGGGAGCATCTGAGGTTGAAGAGGCAGGGTGCCTTGTCCAGACTCACAACAGAATGGTGGTACACCATGGGGAGCAGATAGAGAGGGATGAGTACGTCCTGCCTAGGTTCACCAGCACCAGAACCCTCCACAGTGAAGGGGATGGGTGAGGACTGCATGTACCTGACTGCCAATCTTCTCTGCCTGGGAATGGGGTCTCAGGATGCTCTGCTCAGAGGCCAGCACCAGGGGGCAGCAGAGGGCCAGATCCCTCAGAACTGGTCCAAGGGCTTGAGCAATGTAGGTATGGGTACCTTGTCAGGGTGCAGGGCAGCTGTGGAAGCAGGCACATTCTATGAGCTGGGACCTCAGAACCCAGAACCCCGGGGACTCACTGGAACATTCTGTTGCTTTCCTCCCTACCACTGGCACCCTGGAGATCATCTCCAAACAAGGCCAGGAGACAGCTCCCATTTACATTTTGCCTCATTTGCTTTGGACAGAAAGTCTTCTTCCCACTTGCTAATCAGGTAAAGCCCAGTGTGGAAATGGCACAGTTAGGCCGTCTTTTCATCCTGCTGGGAGACACCGCAGTCCAAAGAACACGGCTGGCTGTCACCGGTCCCTTCTCTCCCTTCCTGTTAGCTTTATCCCTCACAGCCGCCAGTCTCTGAAACATCAGAGAGGAAACGGCCAGTGCAGTTCAAGCTTAGTAAAGCCAAATCCCTACAGAAATGGAACGCTTTGTAAGTCAGCGGTTTTTCTCAGCTCTGCTGAAGCTGGAGCCCAGGGGGAAGGGGAGCGCTGTCAGGGATAAACAGTCACTTTTCTCTTGCTGCCCTTTGAGGGTATCTGACTTCACACGGCACACTTCATTGCCACAGACTAGGAGTGGGGGAAAATGGAAGTGGAGCATCGGAGCCTTGGACCTACTGAGTAGTCACAGGCAAGCAAGGTCATAGAGACAGAGGTAGTCTTAGGGACTGCCTAGTCCTGTGGCCAGAGGGATGTGGAAGTTAGAATTAGGTCCCTGACACCATCACAATGCTCGCAAACCTGAGGAAGTCAGTGCAGCTTACACATACATCCTGCACACAGCAGAATTCTGCCTGGCATCTGGTGACTTCCCCACCCACCAGTCTGAACAGCAGGGAGCAGAAACCCAGAGAGGTGAGCTTCCCAAGGCCATGCTGTGGAACTGGCAGAAACATGCCATTGCTGTGTCTAACATGCCACACTGCCACTGCCTCTGAGTCCTGGGAACTTGCAAGGTGCAGCGAGCCTGTCTGTGGGAGGTCTGGTGGCTTCTGTTTCCCTTGGGAACTTCCTAGGATTTCTCACATGCCTACTACAAGAGAGACGTGGAGAGACACGCTGGGTTCCACAACTGCAACGGTCTCGGGCTAATGCTCTAGCTGTGGTCAGAATTTTTATTCCAGTGTTCTGACCTTCCATTTAAGAGAGAAAAGCACAGCTTTGGATATAAGGAATCTTTAGAAGCTCTTTGTAAACTATACAGTGAATACAAGGTATGACCCATGTATCCATGTAGCCAAAGAATCAACTGCTTCATGTCTCCAAAGACAACAGCCACCAAGGCTCGACAGGGAATGAGCGGAGCTCCTGTCCTTCAGGTCTAGAATAGCATGAGAATGAAGCAAACTCTCTTGGCTTCCCCAGGAACCTTCTGGGACTTAGCTGTGTGACAGGAAGAAGGGTCACTGGTATGACGGAGCCCTGGGTACTGTGTTCACATGACGGGACCTGTGGGTGACGAGAAGTGGCAGTCAAAGCCTACAGGTCCCCTAAACCAACCTTTCAAACACCTGCTGAATTGCCCATTGCTGGGCCTTTTGGAACGTTCACTGTGAGCCCTCAGGAGACGAGGGACAGCCATCCCTCCTCACGGTCATTTGAGGACCTTCTCCACAGCAGACCCTGATACAGGACCTTAAGTGCATGGTCCCTGCTGTTCATGGGTCTTGGAGGTAGTATTACAAACGTGGAAAGGCCCTGCCCACATCCTGCTGCCCCTCAAGATTCCCTTCCAACCCTGTGCCCAGGCCGTGCTCCCCAGATGCCTGCACCATGTCTGGCTATGGCGGGGTAGCAGAGCATGCTCAGCTCCTTAGGACCCCTCTGCAGTGCAAGGACTCCCACTGGCCCAGGAGGAACTCTCTCAGATGCTCCATCCTCTCTAGTCCCCATTTTATTTTCCTGTGGCATGAGGCCTGCATATTGCTGCCTATGGCTTGCCTGGTTTACTCCAGCTCTTCCTGGGTGTTTTATAGCTGCCTTGCATGCCTCATTCCCCTTGGTGCCTCCCCCTTAAAGGGACCTGAACACCCTTTAAGCAGGACCCCTCTCTCATCCAAGAGAAGAGAAAGCACAGGAACGTAGGTTAAGCCTACAGTCGGGAGGTAGGAGCTGGGTGTGTGGGCCGGTGTGTTTGATTCCACAAGCCATTTCTAGCACTGAAGGGCATCCCATGAAGGATTCAAGTGGCAGCAGATGAAGCCTGGGTATACGGCCACAAGCCTAAGGAAACTCAGGGCTTAGTGTCTGGTTCTTCATCCTGGTGTGTGGGAATTAGGTGTTTAGAAATCTTGCAGGGGACACTATGTTGAAGCCCAGAGATAGCTATTTTAGCTTGACAAGGTTATGGGCAGGGTGGCAATCCATTGACAATCCTGCCTTGCTGTAGCCTTCTCCTTATCTTCTCCTCCCATTGGTCCACAATCACAAGCCTAGCCACACTTCCTTTGGGCCAATCTTTTCTGCTTCATAGGAAGAATCAGTTTTCTTAAAATGTAATTACAAAGCCAGGTAGGTCCTGTGAGTAAAACTTTCACCCCTCCCGCACACACATATACAATGCACATACAGGCACATGTCTGCGTATTATATGTATTCATAGCTAAATTCATCGAACACAGCCAAGAATCATGGGCCCTATAACATGTCACCCCTTGAATATCTCACCAATGGTCCACAGTCTGGAAGAACACCTGGTCTGGGGCAAGGTACACTGTCAAGGTCAAGGAGCGGCTCTCCTTGCCCCTGTCAGGCTGAACTTGGGTTGGCGGTGCACACACCTGCAGTGTCCCTGGCTTCCTCATCTAATCCTTCCCAAAGCTCCAGATTCTGGAGGCGGTGGCTGGGAGAAAACTCTTCACAGAGTGAGACAGGCCAGGGAGCTCAGCAGAGCCTCCAAACCGTGACAACCCAGAGGAATGAGCAGTGACCAATGGTGGGCCAGAGGCTGCTAACAGGAGGCAGCAGGTTCTTTGCATCCTGATGGTGACAGCAGAGACCAGCTCAGCAGCCACTGGGCTCCGGGGCCCTAGCTCACCGTGGCTGGGAGCCAATCGATTTCAGTTCTCAGCGCATCTGAAACAGTTGGCAGAGAGTGTCTGCCCGGGTTCAGGAGACAAAGCACATCTCAGCCCTTGCACACTGATGCCCTTCCAGCCACCGGGAGGGCTAGTGATGTGGAAGGCGGGTGAGCCGCTGACCCTCCATCCATGTGCAGGCTCGGAATTCATTAATCTCACCCCTGACTTCCATTAGAACCAGGGCAATCACCCTATGACAAGCAAGCATGGGGCTGAGAAAGTATAGCTAGGGTCGAGTCCCTGCTGCTCTGTACAACCTGGCTTCTCTCCTAGCCCCTTCCACCAGAGATGATAAATTCTATTCTCTCATTTTTGCTACCAGCCAGACTGCCTGAAATACTTGTGAGGTCTGTAGAGTAGCTTTGGGCTACACAGACAGTGGAGGAGATTGGAACATAGGTCTTCAGGCCTGGAAAGTTCTGCTTGTCTAATCACTAGATAAGGCAGGACTATGGAAACATCCCAAACAGATGAAAATGTCTGAACAGCACCCAAGGCTCTGAGACTGGACAGATAATCTAAATATTCCCTGACTGTGTCAAAGATGGCTCATAGAAACTGTGCCTGTGACTAAGGCCACAGAACTGATGTAGAGGCAGCCAAGGCCTAGGCAGAAATGGGGAGCGTATAAATGCAGAAACACCAAGAAAGTGGGCTCTGCTGTCCCCATGGGGCTGCAAAGATCAGTGTGAACAAAATCAGATCTTTAGAAAGGGTGACCTACTTCCTGCCCCCAGCAGTTGAAGGCTGCTCTTGTAGCTCTAAACTGTCCTTGAGGTATTTTCTCCATCTCACCCCCTTCTAGAAGCCGAAACAGTCCATGTGTTCCCAGCACAGACAGCAGAGCTGTTTTCATGGAGCACGAGGCATCACCACCTTCACATGGTCCCTGGACCCTGGAGCAGAGGTGGCCTCCAGCCCTGGCATGAGGTTTTCCAGCACAGCTGGGAGAAGGGGCGGCTGCAGTCAGTGATGAGCGGAGAGCTGGTCACGTGAACGGGCTAAGCCTTCTGTGCTGACCTGTGACACGAGGGGAGGGTGGCATTCTGGCTTCACAGCCTCCCTGTGGGAAGTCCCGGGCTTCATTTAAGACCACAGTTAGCCCATAGGGCGATTTGAAGCGCGTTTAGTCAGCAGAGTTGATGCCAGCACAGGCTCTGTTAATGTGTCTGAAGTGTTCTCTGCTGACTTCCTTGGTATGCCTGGGCATGTGTGGAATGCTGCACTTCTCGGGGACCATGGGTAAAGAGGTGACTATTCAGAGGTGGAGATAGAGCAGGTTTGGGCAATACAGTTCTATGAAGGAGACCCCGACGGTCACGGATGAAGAGCCGGGCCAAGAATATTGCCCCCTGAGAGCCATTCTGATGCCTCTGGGACTGAGGTGAACATGGCTTAGGGACCACAGGGTGAAGATGGCAAGGTATCTGAGGTTCTCAAGAGCACTGGGCAGAACATGAAAGGTCAGAACAGGCTGTCCAGGGGACAGTGAGGGACATGGGGTGACACCTCTCACGGAACCCATTCGAGGTAGGATAGGGTCAAGTCCAGCAGAGATCCTCTTAGAATGGAGTATGACAAGGGAAGAGACTTTATGGTTCTGAGAGGCCATGGCGGGTTCTTGAATGTCACCGGACTCCTCACTCTCAGAGGGACAGGTTGCTGCAGAGGTGCTGGTTGCCATGGAGTGGAGAATCATACGGTGCTCACATAACTACAACGGGTAAAGCATGCTGGGTGATACAGGCATGGAGAAAAGCTAAGATCACCCAACTCAGAGGCCTTAGTTTAGCCTGTGTATTAAGAACTGTGCTTTGAAGCCGGGCGTTGGTGGCTCACGCCTTTAATCCCAGCACTCCGGAGGCAGAGGCAGGCGGATCTCTGTGAGTTCGAAGCCAGCCTGGTCTACAAGAGCTAGTTCCAGGACAGCCTCCAAAGCCACAGAGAAACCCTGTCTCGAAAAACCAAAAAACAAAAACAAAAACAAAACAAAAACAAATAAATAAACAACAACAAAAAAAAAGAACTGTGCTTTGGCCAAGGCTGATGGGACTTCCCAGTCTACGGAAGCTTTATCTCCCCTTTCTGTGGAGAAGGAAGAGGTGGAGGGGAGAGAGAAGTAGGAGAGGATGGTGATGACTCTTCTAGCCATATCCTGTTTACTCTCTGGCCAATTGTCACCCATAGTGCCTTAAGGTGGGGTTGTAATCAACAGAACTCTAGGCAGAAAGGATGGATGCTTCAAGCGAGGACTACAGCCCTGCCACCTGGATCCTAGGTGAGCCAAGTCTTAGTTTGGTGTTTCTATAACATGTATGGCTGGCCAGCTCTGGGAATTGTGGCTCTATGACCCATGGACATTTGAGCTTTACTCGGGACCAGGGATGGGCAGGCCATGATTCTGGCCTTGCTGTCTCGTTTGCTGGGAACCTGGGGCTTTCTGCAGCTCGCTCAGTGGGGCTCCCTGAGTTAAAGGGCAGGAGAATCCGAGGAATGGAGAAGGTGATGGGAGAAAGGATGGAAGAGAGCAGGGTACTTACAGCAGGAAGAGATGGGCACACTGATGGCCAGGATGACCCAGACAATATCCATCTTGCTCAAGCAGATGGTGGCTCTGTGCTGGGGCTTGTCCCCTTCAGCCACATGGGAGATGTTGCCCACTGTCCCAGGCTTCCAGGTCCCAGCAGGGACCAGGCGGTTGAGGAAGTTTCCTGTGGCTGTGGACAGCACTGTGGAAAGAGCTCTAGGCCCCCTGTCGGTGGTTGTGGGGGAGGCCTCAGCCTTCTCCTCGGCTGAAGAAACAGTGCTTTCTGAGACCCCAGAGGGCCAGGTTGGGGCCTGAGGGGTTGCCGATGTTCCCTGAGGGATGCCCTGGGAAGGGACTGAGACACTGGCATCAAAGGCAGCCTGGGTAGGCCCCGTGGCAGCCGTGAAGGCCCCGGAACTGGCAGACGGGGGTCTGTCAGTGTCAGGGGTGACAGCAAGCCAAGAGTCACTGTGGCTAGGGCTGTCCTGCACGTCACCATGAGGGCGCTGAGAAGGCACTGGGGCAGGCTGGGTACTGGCAGGAGCACCTGAGGCTGCTGTGGCTTCCGGCTCCCCTGCTGCACTGGTAAATGTGGGGCCACTGCCCTGGTTGGCTCTAAGGCCTGGCTTGTCCTTTGCAGGTAGCAGGGAGGTTGTGGGGGGCACCCATGAGGTGCTGCTGAGTGGTGTGGTTGGAGACACTGTCTGAGGCTGTGCCGAAGAGGAGTAGCCCGAGAGTGTGGTCCTGGGGGTAAGAGCAGAGGGGTCTGGCTCCACAGATCCTGTAAAGTTACCCTTGTAGATCTGGAAGATTTTCCCCAGAGGGCGCTTCTGCCCCAGGTGTGTTGAGCTCTGATTTCGTCCCCTCTGACCTTCCTTCCTTGCTGAGTGGCCACTGGATACAGGGAGGAGGGGGCGAGAGGAACCACCAGCCCCCTTCCTGGAAGAGCCTGGGGGCCTAGGGAGCCTACGAGTGGTGGACCGTGGGGGCATTGTGGGGCGGCTGGTGGCTCCTGCTGGCTTTGTTGGCAGGATGGTAGGGGCAGCATCCCCCGGGGGACGGCCCTCTGAGTGGGAGGATGTGGTTGCCATGGCAGCTGGAGGGGAACCTGTGGGCAGAGGGCTTTCAGGATGGGGGATGGCAGCTGTCACAACAGTAGTCATGGTGTCTGTAGGAGGTTGCCCTTCTGGATGAGATACTGTTGTTTCCATAGTAGCTACAGCCTGTGAGGAGGGTCCATCAGGCGTGGGGTCCAGTGTCACCACAGAGGAGAGTCTGGTAGAGCTGTGAGTTGCTGTCACCATGGTGGCGGGGGGGCTGCCTGAGGGAAGAGTCTGCAGAGATTCCCTGGGAGATGGTTCCTGGACAGCGAGTACCAGTGCTTTGGTCAGGGCCAAGGTCAGGAGAAAGCCTGGAGGGGGAGAAAGAGGAGAGAGGTGAGGAATGAGGGTGTTGTACACAGCCAGTCCATCACTGTGGAGGACTTGGAGAAAGCTCTGGGGATGCAGGACGGCCATCTGGAGTGTTCCTTAGGCCACACTGGCACCCTGGCACTCTGAGACACAAGAACTCTGTGTGCAGCTGGGGAAAGTCTATACAGAGGGAGAAGGATGCTTTCTATCATGAAAATAGCAGCACCAGGTGACCCTGAGGCAATCAGACCAACCAATCCCACCTTTCCTCTAGGTCCCCAAAATGCCACCAGTCCTCTACCTCAGTGCATTGTCTTGGAATCTGAGGGGAAGCCTGGGAGACTTGTCACTTCTACATCATCTGTCACTGGGGAGTAGTCAAGTCCAGCCTGACCCCTGAGCCACTCAGAGCCAACTGGGAGAGGCTTGGGTGGGAGAACTAACCAACTCCTATTCCGTTTCTTGAACAAGAACAAAATGCCAATGTCAGACCGCTGCTCATTCAGACTCCGTTACCCCACACCTTCCCTTCCTGGCGCCCCAGAGTACAAACAGGACCGCCCCCAGACTCACAGATGACCCTCAATTAAGGCAGAGGTGCCCTGATGCCATAGGAGCATGATGGGCAGAAGGGGGCATGCGTCCAGAGAAGGGCAATCAGCTCTAGCTCCCCGAACACCACAGTGAAGTCTGGGATAGGACATGCTGCAGAAAGACCACTGGCGACTGGAGCTTTGACATCAAGTGCTTGCCTGTGGTTCCTTACGTAGTTGAACTTAGGGAAGTCCTCACTGGCACTGCTTGGTCTTTCTGAGTAGGAGGAGCCCTTCCGAACAATAAAAAGAGGGCAGCATAATAAGGTATGCCACATGAGTTTATTAATAGATGCAAAAGCATAAAAATCTGAGTTTGAAAGTCTTCCTAAATGGAAAGGGTTTTATAATCACAGCACCATGTGCCAGTAACCCTACATGTCAACAGAACATATGAGATCACTGAGGTCATGGGCTGTTGCAGCACATGGGTTACGGTTACGGAGAGCTGGTCTCTGTTGCTGATGGGTGGTGGGGACACTTCGATAGGGACTGTCTGACTTCTTAACACCTCTGTGTTCGTATGCATTCCTTTGTCATTCTTGGATTTCTTTTCAACGTATCTAGACCCCAGAAAGCAGAGATCCGTCTGACAACTCTTAGTCCTTCTGCATGTCACCATGCTCTAGTAGGCCACGTGGCCAGTCACACTGGTGTCGTGGGCAGCATCCCACATGCATTCTGGGATGGGGGGAGCAAAGCTGCTGGCAGTGGGAGGCAGGGCCCTGCTTGGGATTCATGGGAGTTAGGTGGAGACGGTGAGACTCTGGCTAGCCTTTAAGGTAGCAGGGAGGGAGGAACTCCGGTGTGCCTGGAGCAGCATTCAGTGCGTGGTGGTTTTGGGAATAGTCACAGCTGAGCCAGTACCGGGGAGGTTGGAGGACCTTGTCTTTAGCAAAGGCAGCAGTGTCTCCAGGACTGACGGCCTCTCTAAGCAAGTCGTTTTTCTCCATGTTCATTCACAAGTCAGCCCACACACGTGCAGTGCATTCTGCTCACTGCAGCCAACCCTGCAATCATGCTAACTTTCAACCCGGCAACCGCTTGACAGAGTGGGAAATGAAATCCCAGGGGAGGCAAGGGGACATGTGTGAAGTCACACAGTCTCAGAAGCACACGGAACCAGGGCTGCCTCTAAAGCATATGCTTTTCCTAGTTAACTGCCACCAGTGATGCAGGGGGAGACAGAGACCCATCGGCTGTACCCACAGCAGATGCAAAATGCCACTTGGATCTGTTCGGGGTGGTTTTTCCAGCCCCACAAACCCACTTCTTGCAGTTTGGCACCACAGGGGTGGCTATTGGTGGTGGCAGCCTTTGTGTGAGGAAGACTCTGTTACAAGTTGATCACATGACTGTTAAGAGGCGAACTATGCTTCTCCCCACCAAATGCCAGAATCTCAGAAAGTGATTATTTGGAGAGAAGTATTCAAAAGGGAGACTCAAATGAACAGAGGCCAATGGGACGAACCTTAACCCAATTTGACTGGTACCCAAAGAAGAGCTGGGGCATAGGGAATCCTCTTGTGAGGACAGAGCAGTAAGAGGGAGGCTGACAGTGATCCAAGCACAGGGACCCAGCCCTACTACCACAAGAATCCAACCCTGGTACTACTTTGACTTGAGAAGCATTGAGGAGATAAGTGTGGTGTAAGCCATTCAGAGGGTGTTACAGCAGCTGAGTGCAAGCATTTTTGTGTCAGAACCCTTCCAAAGGGGGGCGATGAAGACAAAGGGCATGTGGGTAAGTGGTTTACATTGGGAGATGTGAGGGTCAGCTAAGGGGGCGGAGATTGGTGAAACGGGGAAACCTGTCCCAGGGGAAGCTGTAAGTTGATGGAGAAGCACCCCAGTCTTACTGGGAGTACCTCACATCATGTGCCTTAAGGAGATTCCCCCAGACTCTCACCCTATCAGAGGAGGGCTGCTTCTTGGGTGTTCATCCTACCCTCTATACCCCCTGGGTATCACAAAACTGAGTTATGGAGGTCTTTGGCCCAGGGGCTGGAAGGTCATAATTATGTCCATTCGGTGGCTGCTGTTGTAGCTGGAGTTAACATTAAGTCCCCTGAGAACTGGTGAACGTGGAACAGAGTGTATCTGGTAGTCAGCCCTAGAGCCAAGGTCATTTTATTGTTTTGGCTTCAGAGTCCCCAGCACAGAGTTTGGGGAGAGATACCAGCTCACCCCAGGGACAACCACCCAGTGGGAAGGAGGGCTACCTGGTCCCCAGGAGAATAGCAGCAGACATCCAGAACTGAGGCTTATGCTTCCCCAGGGTTTAAATGGTTAGGAAAAGAAATTCCCCTCATCTCCCCACTAGGAGCCTGCAGAGGTTCAGATCACCCCAGCCAGACCCTTTGGCTGGAGATCCTGTAGCATCTACTTGACTGTTCTTGCTGCTCTTTGGGTACCAGACTCCCCAGATTTTCTTCCTCCCTAAGCAGCCTGTATTCTCCATCATGCATTTAAACTCCAATCTTTGCTGATATGCATAAATTTATTCCTGGATGCCACAGCGCTTTGAGTGTTGGCTAACATAGTGAGGGACCCTAGAGTTCATCTAAGCCAACCTCTTCAGTGTATAGAGAGGTGACTAGGTGGTGTGGCTTGTACAACAGCACGGGCTGGTTAGGGAGTATGGTGTATATGGTTTGCTCTGAATTGAAACATGCCCTTGGACTCAAAAGACTCTGAGAGCTCATGTGACACTTCCCCAGGTTTATGCAAGTAACAGATGTTTGCCAGGGGAGGGGAGACTGTTATAGAATCTGGGGGTGCAGCCTTCCATAACTGTCATTTAAGCCGAGGTGGGAGCTACCTATCAGTTCACCAAGTTAGGTTTGGGTGGAATCATTTCTCTGGTTTGCTATTGTGCCCTGAATGGGGTGACTAGATGTTTGTTCACGTCTTCCCCAGGAAAAGTCACAAAGCAAGGAGACGGCCTGGATCACAGCCATTATTTTAAAAATAAAAATTTTCATTTGTATCATAAAATAGCTACAAGGGTTGAACTGTCCAACTCCTTCAACCTTATTGTCACCTTGAATATGGAAATGAGACAAGAGCTTACACCCTTTTTCCTTAGCACAAAAGGGTTAGCAAGTGAAGAATGTGATGTGTACTGTCACAATGAATGTGCAGGGCCTTCAACGAGGGCTCCTCTAACACATGCAAATTTTCATTCAAGGCCCTTTGTACTGGTCTACACACTCCCCTCCCCACAATCTGGAGTGACTGCCTCTTTGCATATCATTTGCATGGATTTGCATAATGGACCCTGGAGACTAATTCCAAATATGTAAGAGTCACTAAAACTAAAATCTAGCTTGACATGCTTAAAATGTAGAGCCAAATTTAAAAATGTGCCAGAGTGAGGATAAGTATGGGGGATGGGGGACAGTGGGAACCTACAGACTGATGGGTGTCCAGATGTCACAGGAAGACCTCCTCCTCCCTAGAATTCCCAGGCACATGTCATCTCAAAGTGGAGAGGGTATCCTCCTCCTGTGTGTTTGGTTGACTGCCCACTGTCCATATTGGGCACTGGCACTTACATCTGGCACAGGCAAGGAAGCTGCTGAAAGGGCAAGCCTTTGCAGGCACAGCTGTCCTCACAGCATCTGGACAGGGGTGCTCTTATTAGCTCCATGCTGCAAGCGATAGACGGAAGTCAGTGGACCATGTTGTTGGTCACCCAGCTGAGGAATGGTGAGCTGTGACTCAGCAACGCCTGGCTCTAATCACATTTTCAACCACTGTCCCTTAACATACATCTTTTGTCTTTTGTCAGTGCTGAAGATGGACACCCCAGAGTCTTAGGCAAGGTAAGCAAACTTTACCACTGAGCTTATACTCCCCACCCTTAACTTCTCTCTGCTTGGCCCCTCCACTCTGCCCTCCACCCCCATGTTCTGCAGGGTCAAAGGCCATGCATGATTACCATCTCTGGGAATTCATTTTCTAGGTTGAGTTTTCCTCTCTTACTTGAAATTTGTATGTTTAAAAGTTTGTGCACATTTGTCATACTGATAGTTCTTACAAGTAGAACCCCATTTAATTTCATCATGAAGTATCTTAAGTGGATTATTCTTAGTTGATGAAACAGGGTATTCTGTCCATTGACTTTTAAATCCTGTCTCAGGCAATCACGGGTGTGTGGGAGCTATGTCCCATCACTGAGCAAGATGGCAACCTAGACATGCCCGATGCCTGATGTGGCTAAGTCATGTTTGCAGGTTCTGATAAGTTCTTTTCCACTAAAAACTGGCAATTACTTCCTTTTCATTTGAGCCTAGATGGGCATTTGTGACCACTCTACCATGTCATAGCAGAGAAGGTCTCATGGCGTCTATATTTCTCTTGGGGACAGTGTTAGTCTTGTATTAGGAGTGTGGGTGTGACAG